TTTGTCGAACTTCATTGAGATATTTTCATAGTTATTCGAAAGGGTAATTTTAAAGGAGAAATTTTGTTTTTACAATTGATAGTATGGCTATTACTTTTACAAGGAACTACTGTATTCACTGGTGTCTGTGTGTGTTTTTCTAATGAAGGGGAACGTACTTTCGTGATTTGTTTAATGGCTGTTGAAGGATCCGTGATTCAAATCTCGGAGAAGGCACTTAAAAAAACTTATTCATCTATATGTTGTTCATAATTAGAGTGAAAGCTAGTAAATCACGTTTTTGACTTAGTAGGCTGAGCCTCTAGCTCCTTACCTAAAGCCCTTTAAAGGGAGGAGAATAGAACGCTTTCTGTTGTTCGTGCTCTCATGGTAATGGTGTAACATGCTGTGGTTTTTTGTACGTTCGTGGCACACACAGCTGCCATTTCGAAAACCTGAGGTTGGAATCTCGCCGAATGCAAAGTTTACTGATCGCCTTTAGTAGCTTTGATTGACTTTACGATCCCCACGGCTTTGGCAGTTGAAAAAGAAATCTTAATTTCTTTTACCAAACCTTTCTGAGTACCTGCAGTTAAAATTCTTTTATATTTACAGTAATTTTATTAAACTCTTTATAAAATAATGTAAATTAAATAGAGCAAAAGCTTAGGTCTGTGTATATATTTAAAATGTTTACAGAAAATTTTGTAAGTAAAGAGAGAGAAATATCTCGAAATATAGCTAGTGCATGTACTCAAACAGGTATATTTAGTATTCATTTTAATTTGTCCTTTAGTCCATTTTATTCCTTGTGCCTTCATGAATGTAAGTGAAAAAAAGTAAAATATTGATAAATAATTTTGTGGGAACATATCTAATAATCACTAAATATCTATTTAATCTAAAATTTTAATATATTTTTAACCCAAAATATGAGGAAAAAAAGTATACTTTGATAATATTTTTGTCACCTATTTCTGCCATTTTAGTAGCAGTCTGCTAAAAAACACCAACAACAGATTTATTTGAATATTTCTCAAAAGTTGTGTTTCGAACATAGTCGGATAACTTAATAAACAACTATAATCCACGTTTTCTTAGACGAAATTATTAACATGTCAGGAAAGTTATTAAATTGTATTTCTTTTATTTTGAAACAATTGCTGAAGTACAATTAATTGAGAATAAAATGTTACGGTTTAAAAGATACAGCTTCTCAAGAACAATTTAACGCTCCAGATGCAAACCCACAATTAAGTGATACGAGTATACCATACTTCGCGATTTGGGAAAATCAGCAATCCATGTGACAATAACCGGAACTCTTAATTGTTATGTGGTAATTTAATGAGCTTTTGAACTGTAAAATTTCCTTAGCTAATAACAAGTAAACAGGAAAAAAAAATATGTTACACTAATTACTATAGTTGGTAGTCAGAGAGGCGATATTCTCTAAAATATCTGATGTTCTATGGTTCTTTCAAGAAGATACTATCCTCACTTCCTGTCACGAAGGCCAGTGTTGTATCCTTTGGGAGGAACTTGAAGACAAGGCTAGTCACGGCAAGATCCAAAAGACTGTGTTATTGGGGCAAGAGCAGCTTTGGAATGCTGAGTGCTCCTCAGCTTTGTGTAATAAGAGGCCACAATCCAGGTAGAATCCTGGTTCTATTTAATTTCGGTAAAAGTCTATGGAGATGAGATGCCTATCGTCGCATTTTATGTCGAAACTGATCTTAAAGGAAGTGGCACTTTAAATGGAAGAAGAAATGTTACGAGCAGGAATTTTTCGATATGATTACAAATGAGGTAAAACTGGAAAAATTACGTATTTCTATGCAAATACAAAGAGATACTATAAAGTAGAAATAATGAAAATTTTAAAATAGTACTTTTTCTTATGCTGACAAGACATTTTTTTCATTTCTTTTCGGAAAATATTTTTTTTATCCATACGAAAAGTGACAGTTCAACTAAATAATTAGTTAAGAGTTTTTTCAAAAACTAATTCTTTGAAGTGAAAGACTGCTGATTTCTCGTAAGTAAAATGATTATTAATATGTAGTAAAATTATTATTAATATGCTGATAGTTCAATGTGGAATCAAATTCCGATGAACTGGCTGGTTATGGGAATTTTTGTAGTTTCCTCATTTGTAACATTTATATGAACCTGTTTCCCTTAAAAAGGTTCTTCGCTAAGACACATTTCCACTTGAGAATAGAGCTCTCGTGTACTTTCTGATAATAACCTAACCTATTAAAAAGTTGGATTTTATTGTCTTTGAAGTTTAAAATTTTGATTTATAAAAGCAGTTACTTATTACGGGAGTTCAATTTATTTGATAAAGTGGTGTCAACATAAATGCATTGAGTCTTTATAAAAGTAACATTCTTGCTTATTTAATTTCAATAAAAATAGTTTTGCTTAACATTATGGTAGAATATTGTACATAAGTTATCCCATTTTTCAAAAGTAAGTTTTTGAAAAACACGCTTTGAAACTGGCTTTATTACTATTCTGTATTCCAAGAACGACTGCAAGCATATACGAATAGACAAATGTATTGCACTTAAGCACGTACAGTTACATTTAATATATTTTAGGAAAGCATTTAAAATAATTAATTTGAAAAGAATATGAATGTCCGTTCTTCTTTTAAAATAATTAATTTAATATTATGTTTTTTGTTTCATTGTTTCTTTCCTTTCCGTTAAACGGAATGAAAATATTCTAAGTTTTGTTTATGTTTTCAGAATCTTAAAGTTTTTGTTAATAACCTATTCACTTTTCTTTTTAGGATCCCTACTGCAAACAACATCCGAAAGAGTGAAAAATGACTGCAAATTTTTCTGACTTATCTCACTTGTCTGACAGTAATATTAAAACAAGTCCCCCGGTTTTATCGTAACTAGAAACGCAGGATTGCTCTTATCGTTGGCATGAGTCTTGGGCACTTCGAGGGTTACAGTGCGATTTTGCCAGTTCTGTACCAGTTTTGAGACAGAACCCGTTTGAACCAGTTTTGAGACAGAAGTCTAAGAGACTTCCATTACCTTTAAATCACTCGAAATGATTTTATTATTTATTTTAATCATATTATTATGTACACCCATGCTGTGCATTTTAAGTACTCTCATACCGCAAAGACAATGTACACTGACATAATTTAAAAATAAAAAAATTTAAAAATACGTCATAAAAAATGGGCAAATTTTATTTGGAATGAAACTAAATTTCGAATTCTGGAAAGAAGTATCAAGTTTAAAATAAAAGAGATATTAATAAATATATATCAAATTCAATTAACATTGAGAAGCTAAAATTTTGAGGCTAATATTTTAAAAAATTACTCGTGCGATTTTTTACAAAACATAGTGCAAAACAGTTTGTCATAATTTGAGTCGTAGAATCGATATGGGGAAAAATTCGCATGTCATTTCAGAAAACCTCCGATTTTGTGTCAGCATACCTATAGTAGAACAATGCTATATATAAATCTAATACATATCCTAAGTTGCGCTTTCGAAAAATGAAAAACGCAAGTTGAATTTCTTTAATCGGCCCAGTAGAACAGAAGATATAAAACTAGCCCGATTTTTTTTTCGCAGGGTACCAAATAAATTTATCATATGTATACATATATGTATGTGCGTGTTTGTGTATGATTTCAAAGCAAACCATTTAGTAAAGAAACGTACCTCATCGTATAAGTAATTTTCTTTAAGTCATATTTATAAATGAACAGCCTTTAAGCTCGCCTTTAAGGTCTTGTTTGTTTTTCTGAATAATTAATCATTCGTATAGTGAAGATAACGCTTTATTACTGTTTTTACTTATTTCCATGCCTGAGTTTATAGCTACCGGAACGGCCTCCTCATGAATAACAATAAGTGACGTGAATACGCGCTTGTATTTGACAAAAACCTTCGACATTTGTGACACAATAATTTTGCTCTGCAAACAGCTGAAGTCACATGAAGATAGTCACCTCAACTTTCATTGATTAGATAGGAAAATGTAATTTAAGCGTCTCCTTCACACTTTCTGTTTAAACCGAATGTCTTTCAAAAGATTTTACACCGACAGATGTTTTTAAGTGCTTCTTTCGTCAAAAATGCTTTGTATTCATCAATGTTTATATTTTTTGCTAGGAACAATAAGTAATGGAATATGTATTGTCCTAATGATATAGCAGCCTAATTTGTTAACCATCGTATTGCAGAGACGAAATAAGTTTAAATGAAAGACATAGAAAAATGTATATAATTTAGTAAGCCATACAAAGATGTCGTGTGGTAGCATCATTCTTCCTTTATGTCTTTCTCTATTTCTTTAAACGTCCTTGAAGAGAGTAGAAAAACAATTTGGTGTCATACCCTTTTATTGAATCAGTTAATAAAATCCTGTAGACACATTAGGTTATTTTGAAGCAGGAGACATAAAAAATGAGCAATGCTCTCACCGGGACTCGAACCTCGGACCTCTCGAATACGCGTCGAGTGTGCTGGCCTTTACACCACGAAGGCATGCTAAGAAAACGGGTGAAATACCTTATATACCCCTCTTTTAAGGGACGACTGGGGATTAGGGTACCCACTCGCCAAATCCTGGTGGTGGAGAATCATCATCCTCCCCCTTTTTTATAGTTCGGCGCCACTGTAGAGTCATTAGGATATTCTGAAGCAGGAGACATTAAAAATGACCTATACCCTCGCCGGGAATCGAACCTCGGACCACTCGAATACGCGTCAAATGTGCTGGCCGTTACACCACGAAGGCATGCTAAGAATGCGTGAGAAATACCTTATAGGCCGTTAAATAAAATAGGAAATTTATCAAATTTTGTTTGAAAATTAACATTTTTTCTTCTTTCAATATAAGAAAATCTTCAAGTCGATAACCTTCACTTTTAAAACTTAATATATATATATAAATGAAATTAATTTTTTTAGCTAAATTTTATTTTTTTATATTTTTTTGATTATGTCTGATTTTAACTGAAAGTTATTTTTTTGCAGGATGATAATATGGCAACCTGACCTTTTGCCTTCCATAACAGTCTTTTTGGAAAAGGAAAGTTTAAAAGAATTTAGCTTTTCTTGACGAAAGCACATCTTTTCGATGTCAAAAATACTTACATTGTAATATTTAATTTATGACATTGTACATCTTGTCTGCGCGCATTACATAAAATAAATAACAGTAATAGCTAAAATTTCAAGCATCATCACCTGGCATTTCGACAAATTATGCTATTTCTCATACTTTCCTGAAATACCGGTGACTGAGTTAACATATTCAAATGTTATCTGTATGAGATGACAAACTGGTTTTACAATTATCCTCTTCTCTTGTATTTCTATCATCAGAAGCTTAAATATTTAAGCGAAGAATTTTTGCAGACATACATTTTATTTCTGTTATTTTAATGACCTGCTCTATTAATTTCTGACAGTTCTGTTGTTTATTTATTTATCCATTTATACATTTTTTGCTTCAAGACTAACCTTGGAATATAATCGTCTGCATATGGCATTCGGAACTTCGGATCTTCTTCGGATAGTGCGAATTGGGCAACCAATGAAAGAAGATCTATATGAAATCTGTCCCTGACCTATGTAAAAGCTTCAACAGCTTTCCCGGAATCGGTCCATCGCAAATGAAAGAACATAAAAAGAAAAACTAAAGCCATAAATAACGAAAATTTTTCTGGACAAATATTTTGAAACTGATCAAGTCATTGGGAATTTTGTTTGGAAAGATGATATCTTGTTCGTAGATATGACCCTTTTGTAGCGATTATTGTTGAAAGTAAGCCACTGCTTGATGCGACTGAGTAGAACAAAGCAAGAAGAAGGAGCGATCATAAAGCTGTTTTCATTAAAGGAATAAAAGGCTGAGATATTAGCCTTGAGATAAGATTTACATGGCCTTTTCTTTTAGAAACATTTTTTCTAAATGAACATAACTCGGAACTTAAAACGATGTTGTGGCATATATTGTATTTAGCTCAGTTTCAAAGAAATTCTAAGTAGCTAGCAAAAGTTATACCAGAAGCTAAAGTATAACGTAATGAAAATACAGAGGTTTTTACTCTGCTGTCTTTGTTTAAGTCTATGTAAAAGTACTTTTTTCTCATGAAATTCTCTGCACATATAATTCCATTTTAAATTTTTTTAAATCTTACTTTTGGTACCACAAATAAAATTAATACTTTGTAAGGTTTATCCTAAGTTTATTAACAGTTATTTTTACGTTAAATCTCTTTTACTATATCTCCTAATTTCAGCTTACAAATTCCTTACCCGAATGTGTTTTTAGAATAGCGTTTAATGCAGATGAGAAGGGTAGTATTTAAGTCGAAGTTCGGCTGGTTTCGAGAGAGAGAATCAGAGTTTCTGACTAGCGAACGTTTGCCTTTTAGCCACATCTCTCTAAGCAGTTACTACGCTCGGCCGTATTATGAAATTTTTATAGCTTCTCTAACTAATTCGATATTTAGGGGCCAACTAATTAGAGTTATTTTAGCTTCGGATAAATCTTTTTAGTTAGTCATTAGTTAAGTTCTTATTTCTTGTAATTTTTAGTTTAAGCCCAAGAGGTGGCTTTGTTGTACGTCATGAGACAAGGGCCGTTTGTTACTCCTTATTTTGAGAAATAAAGTGTAATTAATCCTTCTTGAGCTGCAAGAATTTGTTACTGAACTCAAGAGATTATTCGCTTAGCTGTTTAATGGGCTCCTTCACACTCAGTTAGTAGATGAAAGGGAGGCACACCACAACGTTAATGTTATAAAAAACGCAGTGAGACATTATGAATTAGAATTCTTATGAATACTGATAATATTAATCAATTTGCTTGTTATTGCTAGCTATGCACATGCAGTGCATAAAGTCTGAGATCCTTATTGCATGATCAAACAATGCAATAATATATTATGAATAGCATCATGATAAAATAATAATAATAGCAATCAATTTGCTTGTTATTGCTAGCTATGCACATGCAGTGCATAAAGTCTGAGGTCCTTATTCCATGATCAAACAATGCAATAATATATTATGAATAGCATCATGATAAAATAATAATAATAGCAATCAATTTACTTGTTATTGCTAGCTTTTTCTGGAGGTTTCCTGCACAGGAGCAAGAGAGACCTTTAGGACCAAGAGGAAAGTTTTAGGGACTTGTACAGAAGAGGATATACAGATATTTACCATTCTTCGCCCGCTTTGCAATACAGATACGAAATAAAAATTCCCAGGATCTTCAAAAACGGCCTTATTGAAAAACAGCTAACCAAATATCATGCAAGTACACATAAGTAGCGCATTACTACTACAACATTTCAACTTGCTTTTACTAAAACATCGTTCTGCTTATGGACTAATTTTTCTATGCAGTTAACCGTTTGTTTTGATCCAGATAGCATTTGCTGTCGAGTATTTAAAATCTGAACAAAAAAGAGCAGTAACATTTTGCTCCAAATCAGTTATTTATTTCAATTTTTCAAATAAATAGTTGTGATTAGAGATGAAATTTGGGGCCAGTTTGATTCTGGCAATAAACAGCAATCATCTACTTAGGTTGGAAAAGGTTCAGCATCACCACAGAATTTTCAATTTCAGAAATCTCGCGTGGAAAACCTGTCAGAGGCATTTTTATTTGAAAGTGATTATTCACAAAAAAAATATTTTTTTAAGCGACAGGTGATGAACTGAATTTATTAAAATATAAAAGACAGACTCCTGGAACGAATTCGGTACTTTATGCTTAAAAAGGTTGCTTAGAGTAACTGGTTTTTGCCACACGACAACGCCCAATTGCAGAAGTCCATTTTATTTAAGTGATTTTCAGCAAACAGTGTTTTCACAATTATAAACTATATTTTTATTTACGCTGTATAGCACTTACCGACATATTTCTCTAAATGAAAATTATAGCGTTGAAACGATTCAGAAAACCATACTCAATAACTTAAAGAATATTCCGAAAGATAAGTGGTGTTAGGAAATAAAACGTCTATATGAACTTTACAAGACTTAAAAATTGCACATTTAAGGTTTTTTCTTCAGCTTTCAATTTTGTACGAACTTGTCCTAAACTTTTGTAGATAAATTATTAAATCCAATGAGAAACAAAGTTTACATAAACTAAGGAGCAATGTAGGTACATTAGTGTGCAAAACTTTGCAGCAAATTCAATTTTTAACATACAAAAATTAAATGGTTAAAAAGGGCCGATAGATTGAAAGTTTAGAGATTAGTGCAAGAAAAGCCAATTCAGTAGAAAACTGATGCATATACCAATAATCAGTACCAAGACATCAGATGGTACGTCTGAGCACGTATACGAGAAATCAACAAAGGGCAGTGCAAGGCAAATTAAAAAGAAGAAACGAAGTCGCATTTTCCAGAAATTCTACTGCAAGTGAAAGTGAGATTTTACGTGCAGTACGGCTACAAGAAAAGATTAAGACGCCTTAGCACGTGGTAGATTGATTGACAAGCTTGAGGAAGGGCATAGTCTGACATCTGTCGTCCAAGAGTGGAACTTATAAAAGTGCTAGTTCATGAGCTTGGAAAGTCTTCCAAACGACATCTGTAAGAAAGGATGGTGGTGGTTGGCCAAGGAAAATAACAGTGACTGATGATCGGTGCGAGAGACATAGCTCAGCAGTTGCGAAGGACAACCAGACGACAGGTGTCCAGGTTAACTGTGTGGCCAGGTCAGATGACTTCATAAAGATGGCCTGTTCGCATGTCCTTCTGAATAACGCATATCACTGACAGCAGCCCATCGTCGGCATTGTTTGCAGTGGTGCGTCCTTTTCGGGGTGCCATTGGTCCCATTTTTTATGGATAAAATGCACGATCACGCAGGATTCATTATGTTGCTACTAGAAAGGTTTAAGGGAAACTAAAGATTTAAAGGTTTAAAGGATATAAATAGAACAGACAGATCAACGTGGCCCCTGATTCAAATTCATCGAACGATTCAAATTCATCGAACAAATGTGGAATATTTAGAGAGATGCCTGGCGGCACTATCCTACCTTAGAGAGAACACCTGATAATTGAAACAGTAACTTCTTGAATAAGCTCTTACACCATTGCCGGATAATTTCATACTGAGTATCGACATACGGTACAACGTAACGAATGTAGTTAGAGGAGGCCATATCCCTTACTATAACTCTTTGGTTTGTTGTTTGTTTGTCCAGATAGTTGTTTGTACCAATGCCATTCTGCCAATAAAGCTATTTTCTATTCGTTACGCCAATAAAGCTATTTTCTATTCGTACGCGCGCTACTCATTTCTTTTCAAATATACTTTTCTCATCTTTTAAGTACTGCATTCTTTTAAGTATACGTATATTATGAAATTTATGTCTCTCAGTTGAATTTTTGCGGAAATATGATCAAAATTGGAAAGGTTGCTTAAGTGTCATACTCTGGTTTATATACTGAATCAAAAGCCACCATTACTTGAACAATACGATTCGTTTTAAAGGTGCTCAAAATTAAATCTATTTTCGTTCATGATATCTTCGCAAACAATCTCTATTGTTTTCACTGGTCGTCAATTAACAGAAAATATGAGTTATTGGATCTACATTCAATTAAATGGCGCGACGTTTCACTATTTACATACATCTGTGCAATTTTCTGCATGATGTATACAGAGAAAAATTAATTCTAATTACCTTGCATCATTCCCGGATATTTCCCAATCATACTGTTTTCTGTCGAGTATAATGAAAGAACTGCAGTGTAACTGGAGAGCCTCTACTCTTAATCGGTTTAAGAAATTAAAAAAAATAACACTACGCCATCCGAAGGCTATGCGTCATTTAAACAGAGTATTTGAAATAGAAAGCTGTTTGTTGTTTAATAATAAGTAAAAAAAAATCATAAGAGTTAACATATCATTGAATGTTTCAGATGGAACGGCTTTTAGTCTCCCCAAATTGATTCTGAGCTCATACTATGCTAGAAATACATATATGGCTTTCAAACTCCTTGGAAGCCAGGATAAATTATTACGAGGAGGAGAAACTACTTTTCGTGATCACTTATCTTCATATTAGTCGTTTCAAAAGGAATCTGACTGCTAGGTAGTCTGCTAGGTAGCAGTTTATAGTAGGTTTAATGAGAAAGGTCTTTTATGCCAAAAATGCAAAGGTTAATATTTCAGTGGTTATTGTGATCGTAAACAGCCAACCTAAAGTACCTCAGAGAATATTCGAACTGGAAGCTACAGAAAATGGGAAGTGACGAACTAATGTTTGAGTTTAGTAATAACTGATTCTAAAAGCGTTCCCGCCTGGCATATATTTGATAAATGCTGTGCTTACCCAGAAGCGATTTCATATATCAAAGTGAATATGACACATTGAAGTCTTACAATTCTAAACAAGCCCTTATAGAGGTGCTCATTGATCTGACTTTCGTTTCATGGATATAAAATGGCAAGGAAACATTCTTAGCCTTTATTTCTTAGATAATCTATGAAATTTTACCAAACTATTATTAACTCTTTTCCTGGGAACAAAGATCGCATTTTCATACATGTATAAGTTAATAGGTAACGCATTCCACTTCTTAAAAATTGTCTTTTTCAAAGCATATTCATATTTTCTATAATTTGATTTTTACTATTACTTTAGTTTTAGATATTTTTAAGGAAATTTCGAAATTTCCTGTCGTATGCGTTTAGAATGGGATGAATGTCAACAAGGCCGCATCACATACTACTACATCACACAGGTAGGCGGCAAACGCAGTATCACTTCCCCGCAGGAAATGGATCCTTTCACGAATATTTTAATAGACACAGCGTCAGCAACATCAGCTTCTATGTATATAGAGAAACTGGGACCCAAGACCATCATCTTAACATCTGTCCACTCATCAGGGAACACTACCTCGAAATTCCTGGTAGCCGCCCAACCGGGAGTGTGATTAGTGATTCTGACTACCGTACCGAAGGGTACCGGGTTCAAATTCCAGATGCAGGCTGGTAATCAAATGCAGGTTCGTAAGCTCTGTGTAGCAATGCATACCTCTCGAAATTCGTCCAGACAGGGAAGAACGATTTATGCCATCGTAATGATTTTACCTACTACTCAACAGCGCTTTCTCTTACCTCAAAGCGTTACTTCAGTACACATATTCCGAAATCTACTTATTCCAGAAGAAGGCATGGATGTCTGTAAATGCATAGTATTTGAGTGGCATTGGGGCACTGTAAATATGCAGCGAGCCGGAAGTCACCTCGAGAAATTGTGATAGGGGAAGAGAAGTGGGAGACCCTCAGACCCGTTCCCCCGGAATGCTGCTCTACTTTAAAATTGGGAGCGGAACTGAGCAAAATTGTTCTATCAACTGTATATTGTCCAAGACTCTGTTGCCAACGACAGGCGCAACTCTTGACTCCTCGTCACAATGAATTTCATGGGCTTCCTCTGATTTCAGGCAAGCGAGATTAGTCATAACAACAATAGCAAAAAATCCCTAGTAACAATATACAAGTCTTGTGCAAGTTTATAGTAAATCAACGTCATGTGATGGCAAGGATCGCCCATGCTATCGGTAAA